AAATTTCCCCCCCCCCCCTTCCCCCCCCCCCCCCCCAATAACTTTTCTAATGGTCTGTCCTCGTCCCTAAGTGTCACAAATGCGCGCGTAGCGGTATTTCAATTAAAATTTAGGGGACCGGATATGAAATCAGTGGCGTTTTTCTATATTTCCGGTTTGAAATTTAATTTCGGATCGATTCGGGAAATTCCTTGGGTTGCACACTAGACCCAACCCAAGCTACCGCGCGTTTGGCTATTGTTCTTAACTTGTAAGCAGGATATCGATACGTGCAGAAAAGGGGCTTAGAGAACAACAATTTTGTCAAATGGAAAGGAACATTTCGGACCTACCGACTGTAGACCACTAGCAGTTTCTCTTTTTTCTTAGTCTGTATAGCGACACGCGCCAGACACGCAAATGACCACGCACGTGACTGAAGGCGCGAGACGGAAGAGCTGCCTTCCTCGTTTATCGTATACGATCGCGTGCACTCCCCTCACTAAATCTGAAGAAAAAGAGAGACTCCTCGTAGTCTATACCCTCCGATGACCGGACTGGCCAAATTGGACCACCTTCAAAGGAGGTCCCGAATATTCCGATCGGACCGAACCGACATCGCCGCTTCCACTGATTTTGGGATCTGAACTTGCCTGGAACAATGTCTGGGACCAAGCTCTTTAATTAGTAATAAGAACTTTGGGGAACCAGTGGATACATTGTTTAGAGAATAAAAAAAAGTCGTGTGATAAAATAAAATGTTTATTTTCCCTTAAAATACAGGCAGCCCAACCTCAGTATACTTGTGGTCATTGCCACTATTCAAATGGCCGTGAACATAAACCCCCCCGGGGGGGGGGGGTACTTCCCTATATAAGCTATGTAGGTATGTGCCACTCCATCGGGTAGTTGTGCGCCGTTTTGGTCTGAAAACGGGTATAAACTTTGCCCATTTTGGGTCTGGAATCGGGTATGGTTTTCGAGGGAACTACGGGAGTAGTCATGAACGTATTTATCGTTTCAATTTTAAATGAGAAATATGCGACTTCGACAACAACAACAACAACAACAACATCTTTTATTTAAACACGGTGGGTTTTAAAGCTAATATAGCTTATGAGGCCGTGTAAAAAATATTAATAAAATAAAATAATAAAAATGATTAAAATTGAATGTGGTCAATAAAAGGTGAAATATGTACAATAAAAGATATGAATAGAATGAATAAAAGACGAAATCACTGTCAATTTGGGGACGACCCATTTGCGGTGACTCTTCATGAAAGTTCAAGTTTCTGAGGGCGTCAGACTTTTTTGCCCTTTTGGCATAGTCCATGGCGCTGACAGCGGATGGTTCTATACGATTCCAAACAATGGATCCTCTGTAAGAAATAGAGTTTTTCGGCTATTTTGACCTTATAAGTGTCGAATAAAGAGTCCCAGTAAGGTGTTTTTCCCCCCACTCTCCACTCCCCCCCGGGGCATAAACAGACGGCTCTTCAATTAGAAGGTGATAAACACTTACTGTATTTTCAATGATTTAACACTTAAACTTATTTACTTGGTTTGTTCTTGCTTGCTGTGTGGTTATTGAGCAATTTCCTTGTGAAAACCTGGGGGTATATAGACTGCAAAACAGTCGTTTTTTTTCTCAAAATTGCCGTTTAGCGTAGCTTAAGAGTCTCCACCACAAACACAAAAACGTAGGATCTATAAAGACCTGATCAGCAAACATAAGAAGTAGACAAATTAAATTCTGCAAACAGAATACTGCAGAAAATTAACACGTGTATCCTGGAGTGCAAGAGTACAATGGTCCAAGTGTCAATTGGTATAATGGCGTAATTCTATAAGTGTCGCGAAAATTAGTAAGAATAAGGTATCTACTATGCGAGCGCTTAAATCAGAGGGTGCTGCTGCAGGTTATTTTCCAACAGCGCTTCTCTCTCTGTCTGTAACGTCGTCTGTAACGCCATATTGATGAGCTACAATAAAAGCGAAACAGCCGTCTATGCCTACAATACCGCGCTGTTTTTCATGAGTTCTTTCGGTGTCGTATAGTCTGCTGCACAGCCGTTTTTAGTGTCGTCACGCAACGCTCCTCCCCACTGGTGGTAGGATCCCCCGGAGGAGTACTGCCATATATGTCCGATATCAGTATGCACCGCTGTGAAGGGTATAGTCTGCCAGGCAGACGTTCTTGGGGGTTCGTCACGCGTTCCTGCCCCACGAACGTTAGTTCAAATTGGTTTTGTTTTGGCTGGACTGTGCTAGTGACCTAAGAAGTTTCTGGAAAACAGCAACTCTAGGATAGGGGGATTTTGGGGGGCTTAGTCTTAGTCTGAGTAAAGGGTAGCAAAATTCACTTGAACTAGCTCTGGTATAGGCTAAGGGTTTCAAGGTCCCAGCGACACCGTACATCTCCACCCAAAAAATTCCTAAAGTACGGTACTTCCCCCCGGGCTAAGATCATTACTTGTTGTTGTTACTATAATCGATTGTTATCGAGTTTTACCGAATTGTTAGCAATCGCGATAAGTTTTTTTTCTGATGTCAATGGATAACAATCGGTGGCAGGAGCGGGGCTCCTGTCGGTGGATGATATCGACTATATATCGATTGATTTCCGTATCGATTTCCATCGATTGACTACACCTGGATACAGTGTAA